TTGCACTTGATATATCACCTCATCACCTCTTCTACACGTGTCAAAGCGCTTCACAGAATTCACTGTAAAGTGAATTGACTGTATATTTTGTGGGCGAAACGTGGCAGCCAATTGCGCACAACAGTGTCCCACAAATAGTTGTGGATTGAGTGACCGATTTTTTTAAAAAAAAAGGAATTATTACCCAATCGACTAACAACCGGGTTCCTACTTTTTGCTAGGTAAACAGAAGCGTATGGAGTAAGGAAACTTGCCCAACGTTCCACCCTGCCTCCATAGGCTGCACATCAATTGCAGTAGGCTTGGATGACTGACTCATTTACAGGCCTCCCTCCACTATACACTAAAACCAAATAGAAAGCACGTAAAAGCTGACAATGGTAACGGTCTCCAATTGGGAAAGTAACAACAACTTGCATTTACGTAGCACCTTTTCATGCAGGCCGGGGGAAGTGTAGTCAAACAGTAAGGTCTTCAGTCGTGATCTAAAAGTGGGGAAAGAGGGGACAAGCGGAGGGATTGAGGAGGGGCGGGTGTGGGGGGAGAGAGAATTCTCAAGCTTCGGGGTGCAGTAGTTGAAAGTACGGCGGCCAATGGTGGAGCAGAAGGGACGAGGGACAAGCAAGAAGCCAGAGCCAGCAGGTGGTGAAGTGGGAGAGAGGTCAGGAAGGTAGGGAGTGCTGGGGGTAAAGGAATTTTTGTAGATGAGAGGATCTTCATATCGATCCCTTCTGACAGGGAGCCAGTAGAGCCTGGCAAGGGCTGGTATGATGGGGATACAGAGTTTAGTATGGGTGAGTATATGGGTGGCAAAGTTCTAGATCAGTGGTAGTTTGTGGGTAGTGAAGCTGGGCATAAAAGCAAGTTGGGAGTTGGAATAATCCAAGTGGGATGTGACGAAGTGGTGGAGGGATTCAGTTACGTTTGGTGTGAGATACAGTCAGAGGTGAGCAATGTGGCAGAGTTTAGACTTTTATAATTCCGTGGTCTATAGACACCTTATGACCAACAGACCAAGAGTTCCAACTTGCACCAACCGGCATTCTCGGTGCACTGCGCCTACTGTTGGAAACCAGACCGCAATGGACATTTGTTACCGGGAGCTGATGGTAGTCATTGGGGTGTTGGGACAATTTAACAAGCTGTGCAAGTAAAGTATTCAGTACCTGCTCTAGGTCTTGCCTACGTAGGATAGTCACTTCCCCGAAGGGGAGAACAAACATTAGTAAATATTTTAAGTGAAAATTGCTCTTTCAGTCTTTTTCCTTTGCGATTTCCAGACGGGAAAGTAATTTTATGGCTTTTCTTGTACTCTCAATTTGTCAAGAGAGATATTCGAATATGAGGACAACCGTCTGTCAATTTGGCAGTGAACAAGAATCTGTACTGGTTGTGGCTTGTATGAAGGCCCAGAACTACAAATAATCCTTGCATTTGATTTAGCGTCTTATGACATCATTGAGACATCTCAAAATGCTTCACAGGATTTACTGAGAAATGTAGTGACTGAGTATGCAAACATGACAGCCAGTTTGCACACAGTAATGTCCCACAAACAACCATGAAGTGAATGATCAATTATCTGGAAGACTGTTGGCCATAGGATCTTCAAAGTACGTGCAAACAGGCAAATGGGACCTCAGTTTAGTACTGCATGTAAAGGACAGCACCTCTGAAAATGCAGTGCTCCCCCAGTGCAGCACTCGAGTCTAAACTGAAGTTGAACTCACGACGTTCAGACAACCAATTGAGCCAGGCTGGCAATTGCTAATATGTGCAAAAGTCTAAAACCACATTACATAGGGCTCCTTATTATCTTTGGGATAATCAAATATTTACTGTACAGGGGGAGAGAAAGAGCTCAACTGGCTCCAAGGTGATATGCTTGGCAACACAATGTCAGAATCTAGTTAATCCTGTGGTGGTCTTGGTAGTACAGGCAGACAGGTCTGCAGGTACTCCAGGACATTGCTGATGACAGCCCAACCAATCTGGCTCATCAGTGGACACGAGGGGCAGAGATTCTTCCCACTCAGCTACTGTTATCCCTCCAAGCCAAAGCCCTAATGGGTAGGGTGGCCCTACATGGACAAGCCAGACAGTGCATTCAATGGCAGGCTATGTTTTTTTTTTCTGGTTAAACTCCTCCCCATAGCTAAAGTAGCTTTTTAAAACAAAAGGGTGCTTGAGGATGAATATTAAAGAGTTAATAGGAATGCAAATGTTCCACAATGAGGAAAAAACAAGGTGAGATTGAGGTGGGGAAAGGCATGGTACAGATGTGCTGTTTGAAACACAGTTGAGGGTCAAACAAGACAACAAAATTTCATACTGGCTCAGTGATGTGGAGAGGACACCCATGAATAGTGATGCAGTCAACGCCTGAAGTGAAGAGGCATTGACGGGAGCCAAGCAAGAGGGCCTCAGTCTTGTCAACATTCAATTGAAGAAAACTATCTCTCATTTAGGACTTGATGTCTGACAGACAATCCGTCAGGACAGCAGTGCTCCTGGAGTCGACAGTGGAGGCAGAGATTGTAAGGTATCATCCGCACACATGTGGCAATGAAAATCCCAAGTTCAATTCCCATTTTTGACATAACCGATTAACAAATGTTACTATTTCAAATAAATGCAGAGATTATATCAAACAAAAACAGAAGTCGTTTGGAACAGTCAGCAGGTCAGGCAGCATCTATAGAGAAAGGAAAGTGAGTCAATGTTTTGGGTCCACAGAACGAGTTCTGTCAAAGTGTTGTGGACCCAAAACGTTGACTCACTTTCCTTTCTCCATAAATGCTGACTGACCTGCTGAGTGTTCCCAGTGACTTCTGTTTTTCTTTCAGATTTCTAGCATCTGCCATATTTTGCCCAGAGATTTACATTCCCTACTCATCCAAATGTTCTGGATTGGGACAGAAGATGGAGGTGAAAATTAGTTAAGATTTGAAATTTTGATCAGTCATACTCAATGAAAATTTAAACACAATAACTAAGAGGATCAGACTTACAGGAAGGCATTTCCTCCTGTCTTCCCCACACCCAATGCAGGCCCTACAAACATAAATTCAGGCTCAAATATTAATTACCCACTTATTATTTGGAGGTATTTAGCATCCATAGACAGCATCCCCACCACAGGCAAGATGTCTTTGGAAAGGGAGGAATGGAGGGGAATAACTATGAACTTGCAATCACACCCAATGCATTAATTATTCTGCAGTTTATGCTTCAATGATGAACTTTTGAACGTTAAATACTCCATTGCTTCTGAGCTAATTATTTAGGTTAATTTGGTAACATTTTTAAAAGACTTCAAAACAAACCTTAATTCTCCACAACAGTGGTGTAATAAAAATAGAAAATATATCCCATTGCTTTTAACATTACATACTAACTATGTAAACTGGCTATCCCTCACCACGTTTTCCAAAACTATATTTAAGAAAAACGACAGTACTATATAAAACAAACTTTCAATTCTGTTCATTTGTCAGATGTATGGAGCTTTTGGAGGAATTAGACACAATCACCACAAAGTGGCTGATTACTCGGATTAATTTCTCTTTGGGAGANTTTTTTATTACGGCAAATACTGGTAAATTTGCATGAATCGAAATCTGGACAATANTTTTTCTAACGCCTTTGCAGTTAGTTCTCTGCTGCTCTGGTCAAACCGCATGTCACTTCTCCTGCTCCATCCAGCAGTGTGCTCCATACTGCGATAGTGAGTGATCGGCACTTCAGGACCTCTTTCAAAACCATTACACGTTTCAGCGTATAGCCCATCGACGTGTGTAAACTATTAGATAAACTTCTTTTTTTTAAAAAAAAATGCAAAATGTGCAAGAAGGTAAGAACCACACCCGTAACTGTTCATACATCGTCTCTGAACCTCGCAATCGATTGAGGACAGGCAAAAAAAAAACATATTTGTCATCACTTCCACCCGCAATTTTCAGCCTGTCTGCGATTTTTTTTTTACATTCAGCCAACCCCAGCAATCGCAAACGAGATTAGTCATGCCATTTAAAATACGTGAACCGTTCCTAACCGCAAAATTAGCGAACCAATAATCAAAGGGATCTTTTTTTGTGTGTTTTAAAAAAAAATGCACATTAAAGTAAGATGCAGAATTACAGATTTTTTAAATTCTTACACGGAAACGGAATAATTCTGCATGCTCTCACTGCGCTTCGTTCAACAAGATCGAGACCAGGTTTGGCACACAAGGTTATCCGACTGCCCGCTTAACTGTAGAGGACTCCTGCTTCACTGGCCATGCTTCATCCACCAGGCACAAGCCCGTCCTTCCACTACTTTAGCACCATTTTTAATTTAAATACTAAACTCAAGGGGCTTCTTCCCCTCCCCCCACGATGGGTGTGGAGGAAACATTCACTGAATCGATAGCTCGACCTCGCCTACAAATTATTTGCCCATTACCGTCACCGAACTGGTGAATTAACTTGTATTCCAAGATTATATACGACTAGAAAAATAAGATTAACAGCCTGGAAAAAATACTCCGGCTAATTAAAACTCTTTCGGCTCAAGGCAATACGTAGTGCTGTTACGATTTTTGCAATCGCTTTGCAGTATCCCTTGGATGCGAATGCGCTTCAGTGATTTTAAAAATATACATTATAAACTGCTAATCTGTTCCTGCACCGCAAACCCTACCCCACATATCATTTATTCCGGCCATTTCATTCCTCCCCCCACCACCACTCCCCCCATCCTTGCATTTCCTCCGCCGCTTAACCCTTTCGTTTCCGATTTTTTTTTAAAAAAATGTAGTTACCCCCAGACACGCAATGCATCCTATCCACATGCATTTACAACACGTATATATATATATATATATATATATATATGTGTGTGTGTGTGTGTATGTAGGTGGAGTGTCTCTCTCCCTCCCCTCACGACTGCGGATGCATCTGAATGATTGCTGTCGCCCCACCGTGAAATCACGCCGAGACCATCCCCATGTGCCTTACCCCCGCACCCCCGAGGTGTATTTCATGGTTTTCCAGGGGGTCCCGCTGTAGTGGTTGCCGTTACAGGAGCTCAGCATGTAGTTAATCCCGTAGGTGCTGGCCTTGTTCTCCCTCTTCCTCCTGCCCCCCAGCACCAGGCTCTTCAGACTGTGGCCGCCGCACCTCAGCGAGGAGTGACCGCCGCTCTCGGCGACGCAGTGATTGAAACCACCTTTAGTCCTGCCGAGCGACGAGGAGCAGCACGAGGATGTCGAGGAGGAGGAGGAGGAGGTGGTGGTGTAGGTGGTGGCGGCGGTGCTGCCGCCGCCGCACTCAGGGGAGGGAGAGGACGATGAAGAGGAGGAGGAGGAAGAGGATGTGGTGGACAAGGACTTGTGCAGCCCCCGGCGCGCATCCCCCGAGCCCCCTACAGGTCCCACTGGCAGCTGCCCGGGGCATGCAGTCCTGCCGCCGGCGGGGGCAGTGCTGCTGCTGCTGCTGCTGGAGATGCCGACTTGCTCGGCGGCGGCGGCGGCGGCGGCGACCGCCTTGGCGTCCAGCGCCGGCGAGTTGCCGCACAGCAGGTGCTGCTGGTGACGGGCTGCGCTCCGGACTCCCTGAGACGTCTCCCAGATCTGCATCCACAAGGCGTTGGCGGGTCCCTTCTGCTCAGGCTGAATCCAGGCCACCCGAGGATCCATCAAAACCCCCCCTCCCCTCCCCTCCCTCCCTCTCTTTCGCTCTCTCCCCCCCCACTCCCTCCCTCTCTCTCTCTGTCTCTCTGTCTGTCTGTCTGTCGTGTCGTGTCGCCTGGTCTCTGCCCCGCTTCACACTGACGCTCACAGGAGAAGGAGGCGGCGGCGGCGGCACTAGACACACTTTCTCACTGACCAACCAGCCTCTCCGCCTCTCATCAGCTGCCGCCGAGCGGGTTTGGGATCTGCCTGGCGCTCTCCGTGCGTGTGTGTGTGTGTGTGTCTCTAACTCTCTGTGATTACATTGAACGGCCGGTCACTCAGCACCTCCCTCCCTCTCTCTCTACATGAACTATAAGGCTGTACTTTCACAACATGGCGCCCCCCTTTCCCCCCCAACGCAAACACACCGCCCCAGCCGAGCCCGCACTGCGCACGCGCGCGGATTTTCAAAACTCTTCGCTCGCCTCCCAACTAACCGACAACGCCGCGCGTGCGCACTCCTCTACCTCTCCTCTCCCCCCCCGCGCGGAGGGGCACTTCGCTTCCGTGTGCACTCCCTTCACGGCTCACCACGGAGGGGCGCATGCGCACAGCTCGCCCCCCCCCACACACACACACGCACGGCTGCCCCGGTTGGTGGTGCGGGAGAACACTCCGTTCCCCCTCTCTCCTGCACTGGTTTCTCCCCTCCCCGCCCCGGGCGAGCGCGAGTCGAAAGGGTGTGCGCGTGCGCACTCCACTCCTCCCGCTGCCCGCCGCCAGAGGCGTCAACGCACGAAGCGCGGCAGATCCGGTCTGCGCCTGCGCTTTCCAATCCCCCCTCCCCCCCCCCCCGCTCGTTCGCTGAGTCTAACAGGCAGGCACGATTTGCGCATGCGTTGAATGGAGTGTCCTCAGAGCCCCAGTGATGCTAAGGTTCATTTTACTCGGAAAACGAAACTTGTTTTTCTCCTCCCCCCACCCTCCCCCTCCCCCCCCCCCCCACACACCACACACACACACACGCACTTTCCAAACCAATGAAAACTGTCGGGTATTCATTCTCAGTTTGCATTTCGTAATTCAGTTTGGGTTACTACCAAAAAAATAAGTGTAATGTCTATTTACAGCAGCAAATACATATCTGCAGAGGAAACTCCTGTCAAACTGACCTATTTAGCAATGCAATTTTTTTTGGGGGGTCGGCCGGGTGTCTGACACATGTGGAAACCCATCACCATGTTTAAGAGTACACAAACCAAATTGAGAATTACATGCATCCTATCAGATATTCCAGAGATAGATTGTTGGAATGTAATAATAATAATAATGCGCACTCTCTTCCTGGAGGGACGCATCCTGCTTAACTAATTCCGGAAAGTATTAGGCTCTGGTTGGCAAAACCTGAGTCTCGGAGATCCCAGAGTGCGCCTTTGTGGTACAGCTGGAGCCTAACCAGCTAAAACCGCATAGCTTGCCATTGAAAGCACTATTTGACAAGCTATCTCGCTGCTTCTCCAGCAAGATCCACCCTAACTTGGGGCTTTGGCTTGCACAGTTAACAGGAGCTGAATGAGAAGAGTCCCTGCCTCCATTGACTGGTCCTTCCTCATGAGTTGGATGGCAGATACCAGGGACTCCCTGCAAACTTCCTAGTGGACAACATTATTCGGCATGAAATGCATGAGAGCATTGCTACTATCTTCCCGTCTGCAGCTTGAACACACAACCATTTCCATTGAAAAATTGTTTCACCAGTTGGAGGTTTGGAGCTTAAGCAACAGCTGCTTGCTTCTCTGCAAACCATTTAAGATGAATTCCAGGTGCTGGGTGTCTGAACATGCGGTTCAGACTCCAGGCAATGCCTTCCAGCAATATTACCCCAAGCCTCAGCTATCTGATGGAGATCTACCTTCAGCATGGTGGGAGGACCTTTATGGGACAGCTTGTGACATGCCAGCCACCTTGATATTCTCAGGGTCCAAATCCAATGCCATGTATCAGGCTTATTCAGCACTAACTGCTTAATCCATGTTCTCATGTAAGGGACTTTTACAAAGAGACATGTTCATTTTGAAGCCAACTCTGCCTCCAGGGTGCTCAGTGTCAGTGTAGTGCAGAGTTATAATAATAATAATAATCCTTGCATTTGATATAGCGCTTTTCATGCTTTTCATAACGTCCCAAAGCGCTTCACAGAACACACTGTAAAGTGAATTGACTATATTTGTGGGCGAACGCGGCAGCCAATTGCGCACAGCAATTCTCCCTCCCTATCGTGTTTTCCAGTGTTTGCCACAAATTTTCCTCTGCTTGATCCTAGAGTTTGCAAATGGGCTGGAGGAAGCCTCTCTGCTGAATACACAGGAGCTCAAAGCCATGAAGAACTGTGTACACAAGCAGTGACTTGCATGGAGACCTGCTCACCCTGAAGAGAGATGAGCATGGACAGAATGCCCTTCGCCCCATCTCTGTGCGTTCCTTTAAGACAGTGCCCAAGCAAAAGCTGATGTCCAAGTCCTCCGGGACGCTACCCCGCGTGAAGGGCACTATAAATTAAAGCAAGTTGTTTTTGTTGATGTCTACCACATTGCCCAGGTAACAATAAGAATCAACAATTGGGACTGACAATCCAAAATAAAAATAACAGTTTGAAAATAATGTATTTTTGCATCCCTGTCAAGAGCTAAGTAGTTTTGGGACTTTGAGAATAAATAGTTTATTTCTTGTTTTGGGGAGTTCAGCCCTGCTGAATAGAGAGAGAATAGGGAGAATAAAACTCAATGATAAAATGCATTAGGCCAACTTCTTTACACTGTATTCAACATAGAGATCGATATTGAATCTCAAGTATCTCTTTAAGTAAGGCTACATTTGAAAGAGTTTGTGTCGTCATAATTAGTGTTATCATTGCAACAATAGTTGCACCATGAAATGTTTCAGGCACAAGTAAACATGCAAAACATAATACAAATATTTGTACTTAACATTTTCAGCAGCATCTGCCACAGTTCTTATTTAATCAGAAGGCCAAGATCGCATAGTTCAGTCATGACTGTTGCAAAACCCCAGCATTCCTTGAAAGATTCATAACATTGCAACATCTGAGGCAAAGCAACTTTGTTTACCTTCTCCTTTGGGAATAGTACACATGGTCAGCAAAAATAATAGGAAAACCAATCAACGATGTTTGTTTGCTGCTTACATCATCATTTTGTATGTTGAATAGGAAGATCAGATGATCATAACATGGGATAAACCAATGGAAGAATCCAGAGTGATGCATGTTGCTCATATGCACCAAATTCATTATTGTATTACATAGAATAATAATATATCACATATCACATAGGCATGCCAAATATTATTGCATATTTGAAATAGCTTGTTTATATTTTGTAGTTGATGATATATATATGAGATAGATGTATCACAGGGAAGATAAGATGGATTGGTGAGGTGGACTTACCATTTCAGTCTGCTCGAACCCCTATACCTCCAATACTGTATTTTTTAGTCAGCCAGGTGTCTTTGACACATGTATAAACCCATCACCGTGCTTAAGAGTATCCAAACCAAGCTGGGATTTCCATTCAACCCATCTACACATGGAAATACCAGAGATGGATTGTTTGATGGTATGCACACTCTCTCCCTAGAGGAACACATCCTGCTTACCTAATTCCAGAAAGTATTAGGCGCAGGTTGGCAAGATCCAAAGTTTGGGGACCCCAGAGTGTGCTTTGGGGTATTGCTGGAGTCCAACCAGCTAAAACCGCATAGCTTGCCATATTGCTGTCGGGCAAGCTTTCCCATTGCTTGTCCAACTGGGACTACCCTACCGTTAGGGCTCTGGCCTTGCAGGGTTAACAGGAGGTGAGTACAATGACTCCCTGACTCTAGTGACTGGTCTGCCCTTCCAGGTTCTGCCGATGAGCCAGGCTGGCTGTGCTGTCATCAGCAATGCCCTGGAACACTGCGGACCTGCCTGGCCCAGAACTTATCTACGGAGACCACCACATGCTGTTTACAATCAGATATTTGTTATAAACTCTTTCTTTAAGGGTACAACATTTTCCAACGCCTTGCATTTTTAAATTAATTGATTATTTACCTTATGGCTGTTTATGGGTCATGTAGCAAATGGTTGCCAAGTTTCCCTGTACAAAAAGTCATTACACTTGACTGTAATTATGTGTGAAGTGCGTTTCCCCACCCTCTGTCACCAAACTCATCCTGTTCTTGAAACCCACCACCTGTTCCCTGGACCCCATTTCCCACTCCACTCCTTATCTCCCAGTTCCACCTCCTTGCCCCACTTCTCACAGACACCATTAACCTGTCCCTCTCCTCTGGCTCTGTTCCCATTCCCCTCAAAACTGCCACCATCACTAATGGAAAAATCCTCCCTTGATGCATCGCAGCTATCAAGCTACCGGCCCATCTCCAAACTCCCCTTCCTGTCCAAGGTTCTCGAAAGAGTTGTCGTCTCCCAGCTGCGCTCTTCCCTCTCCACTCACTCACTTTTTGAACCCCTCCAGTCGGGTTTCCGTGCTGCCCATAGCACAGAAACCGCCCTGGTCAAGGTCACTAATGACATCTTGACCATCTGCGACCAGGGCTCCCTCTGCTCCTCGTCCTCCTCGTCCTCCTCGACCTATCGGCCGCATTCAATACGGTCGACCACTCTATCCTCCTCCACCGCTTGTCCTCCTATCTCAACATTCAAGGCACTGTCCTTGAGTGGTTTAGGTCCTACCTCTCCCACTGTCTTCATTTTGTCTCTGCAAACAGCTTTTCCTCCGGCCCCCGCACTGTCTCATGCGGTGTCCCTCAGGGCTCTGTCCTCGGTCCCCTCCTCTTCACCCTCTATATGCTCCCCCTCGGTGACATCATCCACAGACATGGGGTTAACTTCCACATGTATGCGGATGACACCCAACTCTACCTTTCCTCCTCTACCCTCAACTCCACAAACACCGATGTCCTGACAGTCTGCCTGTCCGACATCGAGTCCTGGACGAGAGACAACTTTCTTCAGCTCAACGTGCGCAAAACTGAGGCCCTCATG